GACGCGGCTGCGTTGTCAAATGCGAATGCGTGTTGCTGGCTGATGCTTGTTGATGGACCGTGAGCAACACCTTACGTACACGACGCAAGCGGCTGATTGCCTGGATGACGAGCGTCTCATGGCCGTCTTATCTGGCGCTTGCAGCACGGTTCGTTGGCTCGTCGAGAGAGCACGGGAAGTGGCGCTACGCTGGCTGCAAGTGGCAAACTGCATGTGGACTTGCAGTAGACTCGGCTTCCTTCGCGCAGTGACAGCTGCGCCTCCGTGGGAGTGGACGCTTTTATTGCAAGGTTGCTTGCAGAGGTGCTTGCAGTGGTGTTTGCTCCAGTTGGACCACCCAAAAACGAAGCCGTGCGTCGTGATCACAGGCAAGGTCAGAACTTAACGGCGACATCAACTTGTCAGTCGTCACTATTTTCACTTCGAAGGAATGTACATGATATACGACCCGAACTTGACGCGACACACTTGTGACGTTATAATAAATACGCAGTGTCTGTTTCGTCAACAGCCACTGGCTATGGCGTCGAAACAGAAATATCTGGGACAGTCCGCGTATTTTAATTAAATTAAAAAATCAAGCCGTTGCGGCAATCTCAGATCTTATTTTCCGACTTGCTGCGAATGGAGCTCTGGGGCACGCTGCGCCACAAGATCAGCGGCGGCGCCATCGACTCGGACTCGGACGCGTACGTCCAGCAGTTCTTTGATGCGACGCCCGAAGAGGACGCGTGGGCGATCGCGCACTACCGCGACGCCGTCACCGCCTTTGTGACGCAGCACGTGGCCGACGGTCGCCGCGTCGCGCTCGTCACGTCGGGCTCGGCGACCGTGCCGCTCAACGACCAAGGCTCGATGGACGCGGTCTCGTACGGTGACCGCGGCGCCGCGAGCGCCGAGCAGCTGCTCCGCGCCGGCTACGCGGTGCTCTTTCTGCACCGCCAAGGTTCGCTCGCGCCCTTCTCGCGCCATTTCCAGCGCTACATTCAAGACAACGTGTTCATGTCCATGTGCCAAATGGACGACGAAGGCAGCTTGGTGTTTCGGAGTGACGACGCCGACCGCAAGGCGTTCATTGCCGAGGTGCTCGAGAGCTCCCATGCCACGTCGGCGCGGCTCTTCCACCTCCGCTTCACGACAGTCCAGCAGTACATGCACTATCTCCGCATGGCCTCGATGGCGCTCGAGGGAGTCGGCACGCGCGGGCTCATCTTGCTCGGCGCGTCGGTCCTCGACTACTATGTGCCGTCGTCGACAACGACCGCGATCTACTCCAACTTGAACGCAGACAGCATGCCGACGTCGCCGTCGCAGAAGGAGAAGAACGCGCTCACGCTCAACCTCGTGCGCACGCCAAATTTGATCCGGAAGATCCGCAAGGAGTACGCGCCGACGTCGTTTCTCATCACACTCAAGGCCGTGGCCGACAAGAACCTCATGCACGAAGCGTCATACAACGACATTGAGCGCTGGGGCGTCGACCTTGTCGTTGCCAACTCGCCGATGCTGCCCGACGAGCTAGCGCTCATTTCCGAGCAAGAAGAGTTTATTGTCGCGCCCAAGCTCGAGAACGACGTGGACCTCGACACGCTCTGCGCGGCCGCGCTCGTCGAGGCGCACCGCAACTTTACCACGTCGCGCTCGATCCTCAAGCAGAGCAAGGCGCTGCTGCTCATGACGGCCAAATTCTCGATGATGAAGGAGAACGATACGCTCAACGTCGATGCAGACGGCAACAAGAACGTGTCCTTCAAGGTGGGCGTCCGCGTCCGTGTCGACCGGTCGCTCGGCGATGCGTCGCCCATCTACGAGCTCAAGCACATTTTTCAAAACCGCAGCCACTGCGCCCGCGCCCACATTTGGCAGCGCGTCGACGGCGACATGAACGTCATGGTGGCCTTCTCGCCGGCCGGCACGCCCGACACGGTGCGCGCGCTCTGGGGCGACTTTTGGGGCGGCTGGGCCGAAGACGAGATTGCCGAGTTCAAGGAGCAGGTCGGCCACCTCTCGCTTGGGTCGGCGCTCTACGGCCTCGCGCAAGGGGTCACGGCGACCGTCGGCGGCGACTACTCGCAAGCACACCAAATGCTGAGTTACATTGCGTCCAAGATTGGCTCGGCGTGGTCGGAAGGCGAGCAGACGCGCATTCGCCAAGCCATCCAAAACATGCTGGCCGTCAACTTCAACCGCGGCCTCGTCGAGTGGACCGACTTGCACTCGGTGGACGACATTCGGTTTGCAGCGTCGACGGTCCCGAGTCTCCAGCGCAGCGGCACGATGACGTGCCAAGAAGCCGAGATGCTCTCCGTGCGGCGCAAGCCGCGCTCGGGCAGCGGCGACCTCAGCAACGACGGCGAGAGCGACGACGACAAGTACGCGCGCGCCGAAGTGGTCAAGGTGCACAAGGCCCTTCTCTCGTACTTTGACGAAATGGTCGAAGAAGGGCTCATTGACGCGGTCCTGCCGTACGTCGCCAATGGTATTCCCATGCACGTGACGGGCTACTCGATGGGCGGTATGCTCGGGCAGCTCTTTTGCCTCAAGCTCGCCGACGTGGCGTTTGCCAAGTGCAATGTGCCAAAGAGCAATCTGGCCAACGTGACGGGCGTGTTCTTTGGCACGCCGCGCGTCGGCGACGCGGGGTTTGCAGCGCGCCTCAAGCTTCTCTACGGCGGGTACCAGCTGCTCAATGTCATGCACCCACTCGACACGGTGCATGCGTTCCCGCCGACCTCGGAAGGCTACGCCGACGCGATGCTCAAGGTATTTTTGAAGGAGGATGGCGCGTCGATGGGCCGTCGGCGCGCGACACGCTTCTCGATGCTGCCGCTCTCGCGCCGCATGGACAAGCTCATTGATGCGGCCAAGGCGCGCTCGACCGAGCCGTGCAAGCTCTGCGCCCGCGTCGACCACGAGACGGACCACCACCGGTGCCGCTACTGCACGCGGCGCGGAGATCACCGCGGCGACGCGTGCCCGTACCGTGCCGAGGGCTGCGTGCTCTGCGGCAGCAAGCGCCACGCGACTGGCGAACACCGCTGCAGCGTCTGCGCGCAGTATGGCCACCGCGGCCGCGACTGCCACCAGCAGAGCACAGTCGGCACGCTGGAGATGCTCGCGTACTTTCGCTTTCACGACTTTTTGTACTACAACAACAACCTGAAAAAGTCGGTCGAGTTTTCGACGGGCTAAGTTGCGCGGTTGGTTTTTTGTGTATATTTAATATCAATCTTCTCGTTTTCATTCGAATTTGGTGAAGAATTGGACTTTGGGGTGGCGGAAGACTTCGGATTTGAAGAACAGGAGACTTGTCTCGCCGACTCGCTTACTCGAGTGGTGTGTATGGTCCAACTCACAGCGATTGATATGTATAGGAACGCGATGGTGAGTAGGGGTAGGGGTACCGTTGAGGGTTAGGGTTAAATGGCAGTCGCGATGCTAGCACCAGAGTGGCGTGCTATGGACGAGCACTTCACATGTGCTCGCTAGCGATGGCAGACCGCTAGTAGAACATCACGGAATGGATGGCTGAATGGCTTCAGCGTCGCTTTCCGAGGACAAAGGGTCCGTCGACAGCGCATTTCCACTGCATTATCCACTGCATGGATTTTGCGTTTGGACTTGTTGATCGACACGAAACCTAATATCATGACCTCGTACTTCTTTGGACGTGCCACGATGGTAGCCTTGGCCGTCGGGCTTGGAGGCTTGGCTATCTACGACTCCAGCACGGCAAATGGAGAGGTGAACGACTGTATCACAGCGATCAAGCAACAAGCAGCTGCAGCGGATAAGTTCCTCCACACCTGGCAGCTGGAGCCCAATGGAGCAAATGCGACGATCCTGACCTTGAGAGATGACGTGGTAGCGATCACAGGTGAGTGGCACCAGGCAGTCTCAAACGGCCTCTTGGAATGCCCATGGAGGTATGGACGACACGCCCTGGATCCTGTCGCCAGACACCACTTTCGAGGACACGGAGCGGTGGCCGTGCCTGGATGCACTGCCCATGTCATTTCCGCCACACCGCAGCTAGCACCGATTCTCGAGACACCCAAGGACGACGACAACGAAGATTCCGACCACCACCAGAGCCAAAACCTGAGAAAAGCGGGTCTCAAGTTCGCATCAAAGCACCCTTCGTTCAGCTCGTCGCCCACCTCTGAGCACCCCAACAATCACTAGACAAACAGGTTGCATGTTGAACGAGTACGCCCCCACTTTTGTAAAGCAATAAGTGTTGAGATACGAGCGATCACTGGAAAGACCGACGATCGCAACTACTCGATCTTGCCCCGAAGTACTGTATTAGACCATAGCTCTAGGACGCTTTGCAGCATTTGGACCTGGCTTCGGACTGGTCGGCGCTGGAGTTGGGATGCGAAGCTCTTGCCACCCAAATGGTTCTGAGAGGCTGTCGTCAGAGCTACACTCTTCCTGGTGTCAATATATATATATATATATATTTATCTACTGCAACAAGGGCTCACACGGCGCCCGGGGTAATAGCGACGCGGAAGCAGACGTTCTCAATGTCGTTGGGACCGACGCACTCGTCGATCGTCATCGTGTCATCGAGCACAAGCGACTCGTCGTCGTCGAGCGTCACATGCAAGTACGAGAGCGGCAAGTCGAGGTTGTACTCGGCGTGGATGAACCGCTTGAGCTTGTAGACCTTCATTTGCAGCCGCACGTTGCACAGCATCGGGGGCAGCGTGCCAAACCGCACGGGCACGTCGGCGCGCGCCGAGCGGTGCGCGTGTTTGCCCAAGAGCGCCGTGTCCCAGCGCGCGAATTTCTTGATCGTGCTGTGGATCTTGACCTAAGATGAAATATCAAGAAGGTATCAAGTGGCGGCAGCTCACCGTGATATCAGGTCGGCTCCGGCCCTCCAACAGCCCCATCGCTTGACCAATGTCCAATATGGCGGCAAAGCTGTGACCGAGCTCTTGGTAGGCCATGTGCAGGTACTCGAGCTCGGCGGGCGAGTAGGGTTTGTGCTTGCGGGGAATCTCGGGCGTCTCTTTGGCGCGGCGCTTGGCGGCCGCCGACATGCGAACCCCCTTGCGCCCAAGTCGCGTAAACTTGTGCTAGAATCCAAGATAGTACAGAGTCTTTGGATCGCATATGGGTCGTACCCGTAGCTTGTTGGTCGTGCGACATGGTAGCAGACGCCCGCAGGCGCGACCCTCTTGAAGGATGTAAGCCCACTGCGGTCCGTACTCGAGAGCCATCTCGATGAGGTAGTTGAGCTCGTCCGGCGAAAAGGGTGGCCTACGGAGGCGAGACGCATGAGAAGACACAGAGGCTGCTGCACCCTACGAGCGGTTGGTCGTGTCGCCGACGCGCACGTACGAGCTGCGAGGCGGCGGTGCCGGTGCAGAGGGCGACGCCGACGCATAGACAGCGTACTGGGACGGAAGCTCCATGCGCCCCGAGTACTCGCGGTACCCAAAGTACCGATTCGCTTCGCGCGTCAGCCGAGTCTTCATGGAGCTAGCAGGGATGCATGAGGAAGCGCAGTGACAAGCCCATGGCATACCGAATCTCGCTCGTGGTGAGCTTCGGCGCCGGGTCGGCCTCGTCGGTCTCGTCGCCGTCGCTGGCGAGCTGGCTACGGAGCCGTTGGCTGAGGCGGCGCATATCGTCTTCGTTCTTGAAGCTCTGTGACAATGGGGCGTCATCGTCGTACTCGTCGTGCTCGTCGGACGACGACTCGGCGCCCGACCACACCGGTGGCGGGTTCTCAGCCAGCAGCTGCGCCGTGTCGTCATCATCGTCGTCGTTGCCGCTATTAGGTGGAAGACAAGCCTTGTGGTCCTTTGGCGTCTTGACGGTGCGTCGCCGTGGGCGCGGACTTGCCTGTGAAAAGCTCATTTCATCCTGTGGCACCTCGGCGATCGACTGCAACATGGTCGACTGCGACGCATGCTCGTCCCTAACATCCAGCCGAAAAGCGTCCACGCGTGGCGGACTTATGGGCCCAAAGACGTTCGGGCTCATGGGGATGGCGAGCGGCGTCGGCTCGACCTTGGGTCCGGGCTCGGCCTTGGTGTTCGCCTCGAACTCGAACGCTTGGCTGTCGCGCCGTCGCGCCTTCTTCTGGCTCGGCGTCGGCGCCGGGAAAGAGAGCCGTCGCGGGACGAGCTTGGACGACGACCGGCGCCGCAGCTTCTGCCGGGGCGCAGCCTCGCGCTTCACCGTCTCGGCCATGCGTCCTTGAGTTGATTGCGACCTTTCGTCATAAAATACACCGAGTAGCGTCCTCACCATACAAACATCAAGTCATAAAATGGCCAAGTGAAAATAGAGCGCTGGCCAATCAAAAGCGGCGAAATTCGAATTGGCGTCATGGCCCCAGCGTTGGCAGCTCGGAGCGCAGCGTACGTGGCCGTCGGCTTCGCACCTCGTGCTAGCGCGGACGTAGGAACCAGGCGCACAACCGCGCCGTCATCATGAAGCTCGCGCTCTTCACAGTGCTCATGTTCCTTGTGCCGATTGCGACCTACTACTTCCTGCACAACACGCTCCTCGTTGGTACGACCCTCGACTCTCATCAACAGAACGAGTCATGGGCGCATGTAGGCTACGAGAACCGCACCATGTGGAGGTACTACAATCGTAGCATGCGCGAACGAAGGTCTCATTTGTGCTAGCGGCTTTGGGGCCATTGGCATGGTCAACGTCGTCATCGTAGTCTACATCCTCGAGGCGTTCCGCGAAGACGCCGCTGCGACCAGCAAGGAGACAGTGCCCGCCGTCGGCAAGTTCAAGAAGCAGTAGATGCCAGTGGTTGATGATATCTCAAGAGTCTACTATGTGTATCGCATGTCGACGACTTGCGCGGTGGCCGACCGCGACCACACGATCTGCATCGCGTCCGAGTAAATCTCGAGGTGGCTCGGGTGCTCGTGGAAGCCCGAGAGGCTGCAGTTTTGGATGAGCTCCATGCCATGCGGCGACGTGAGTCGAAAGACGCCGATGCTACGCCGCTATGAGTGTGCTTGCTCGACGACCTTGACGGGTCCATACCTCTTTTGCGCGTCCCGGGGCGCGACGACGATCGCAATGGCCTACAGTCGTAAAAGCGAGGTAGTGCACAAGCAATATCTGCGGCGCCGACCTCGGCCAGCATCGACTGGAACCCGCACTGCGTGTGAATGTCCACGGACGAGAGAAAGCACGTTTGGGACGGATGCGTCTAGTCGATTCCGTCATACACTAAAGACATATTCATCGAGTACATGGATCCAGCCAAGCGTGAGGAGGTCGTTCGCGATGCAGTACTCAAAGAGCTCTTCTTCGTGCGTCATAGTGCACATGTCGGACGAACCCTACCCTCATGAGTGCTCCTGTAAAGATATATATACCAGCGCCTACGGTCTGCTTGGGTATGACGAGCGTCGAGATCGCGAGCTTGGAACCCGTCTAGATGTCGAGTCTCATATCAGCGTGGACGAGTAGGACCCAGTTCGTACGAGCGTGCCCGTGAGGATGCCGCACGTCTCAATGCCGTACGGCGGCTTGCGCGTATTGGGGTCAGCGATCCGAATGAAGTCTTGAATCAAGTTGGCTGGAATCGAAAGCTCGCGCACTTCGTTTCTAAGTGCAGTAGACGATGACGCGTCATGACGGTACCACTGCGCGTCATGCTGCGTACTGGAGCAGGAGTGTTCGGTTCTCGAGCGAGTGGCGACGAGACGACATGGCGGATATAGGTGTCGGCGCGGTGGTATCTGCCGTAGGGTATGTTGTCGATGGCGGCAGTGGCGCTGGCGGTAACGCGGCGCGACTCGGCTTCGCCGGCATCTTGAGCGCGTCCATGGCCTTGGCACGCGCATGGCTGTCCAGTGCCGCGCTTGTGAGCGTTGGCTGCGACGGCGGGGTTGGTGGCGCGAGCATTCGAAGCGCTTGGAGCCGCGCTTCGAGCGAGAGGCCCGCGGGGTCCTTGGCAGTAGTAGCCGGTGACGACGTTGGAGGCGGTACATACGCTGCTTTGTCTTCATGTGCTTCTTCGTGCTGGAGGATAAAGTACTCGTCTTCGTGGGTCTGTTGCAGCTGGTCGAGCTCCTCTTGGAGCATGCCATCGAGGA